AACAATACTTTTAGTAGGAAATCATCTATGACCGTTTGCCGCAAAGAATGCCTGCACCTTGAAGCGATTAGAATGGAAGAAAAAATGGTCGAAAAGGTCGAGAATCACAAAATACTGTGCAGACTAGACTTATTAGGAAACCGATTTCCTCTTCATTGTTTTGGAATCCCTGAAATGAACTGCAGTTCCAATCTAATGTACCAAAGCACATGAGCTTGACTTCTCAGCTGCCGTAAGATCATTCGCTTATTTAGTCGCTTATTTATTTCATTTCTCGAAGAAACCGTTGGATCTCCAATGAGAAAGGGTGGAATTCCATTGTTATCGACAATAATAGATAATTATAATTTCTGAAATAATCACTCAGAAAACGCTTACTTCGAGGTGTTGTGCATTTCAGACGATGTTCGAGAGAATCGCTTAGAAAACAATTATTTCGAGGAGTTGTGCATCTTAGACGATGCCCGAGAAAATCGCTCGGAAAACCCAATAATTTCTGTAAAATAGATTTTATCTTCGTTTACATAACCAGTATAAAGGTGATGGCTCTGCGCCGTGGTTCGAGTTGCTCTACTATACACATGAGTTCGTTGGTTTGTTCCCGCATACAGGGTCATCAAGACCATTCCATCACTCCAGGGTCGGCTGCATACCCCTCAAGGATTGATCAAAGTCAGGAACATTATGTTTTGTTGTTTTCCATAACCACTTTACATACATCTGTTGTACGCCTTATTCTTGTGAGGAATTCTTCCAGAACTAATTGGTGAAACTGTTTTGGCTTTCAAATCTTGTACAACTATTATTTGACTATTTTAATAAGTGCTTCTGCATTTTTTGTGTTCTAAAAGAATCTTTGCCATCGTATGCAGTTCGATGACCACGGAACAGGTCTTGTATCAAATCGTAGATATCAGATAGCATTGATCTGTCAACATTTGCCGGAAATTTACGGTCAAATGTCGGTTGGGAAAACGAAATCGGCGAGTAGAATACGTTTGTGATACATCTACTTCTTTCAAACGAGCTATAATTCTAGAAGAAATAAATGGTGAAGCTCATTTTCATATTGTTATAACTAGTATCCCTCCCAACGGTTTACCGCCTCACAGTGGCTGAGAGGTCTTCCTGGCTGTCGCGACGTACAGCGGGGAAATGCATCCCCTTGGCAAGGTGTTCCAAGCTAAGGAGTCCTCCGTTTCCATCAGAAAGCGCAGCTAAGAGTAAACCAATACCAGGATTCACCACCGTTTTGGTATCAAATTAGTCGCATGATGGCAAATCCCCTTCTGATCCACAAGGACTGCGACTACCTGTTGTGGTAACGACTTTTTGGCTAGGCTGACCTCGGGACTCGAGGCAAACATAATGGCCAGACAAGTAAAACTCCGAAAAATGGAGATTATGCTGAGGAACGCACAACGAGTGAGGATGGGTAGTCTAAGTAAGTCCAAGTAAGTAGCTGGTATCCAAACCACTAGGCTCACCACATGTACATAAAACGAATATCGCCACCTAAGATTATTTTCGTAAAATCGGTGGTGTATACGTAAATGTACCATGGTAGCCTTGCGTGACCACTCTGGTAGCGAACTGAAAGCGAGTGCTGCTCATTCCAGAGAGCATCCACAAAGTTCGGTTATGGTAGTCAATTCCCCAGAATAAGGCACCCTGCAGGGCTCTCACCTTCATTGTGTACTCATCCTTGTTGAAACCATTCTGCTTCGAAGCTACATTCTCAATGATGAACATCCTTTCACTCCCTGTCTTTTTCTCTCTCTGTCCCTCTTTTTACCTCCCAGTTGCACTTTCTAACAGTTTATGTCGTTCATCATTGCAACCATCTTTAGATCGTATCTTCAAACTCTAAACTTCATTCCAAAATGTTTGGGATTGGAAACACCAAGTTCACTATATTCACTGTAAATTGTTGTTCGCACCGCTAGATTCGTAGGAATCAAACATCAACATTGTTTTATGCTAAAGGCAGCTGGAATATACACCGGTTTTATTAAATATTATATTACTTAATTGCGCGTGTAGTGTAGTGATCGGAGGTTCCCTGCAATACCCATGGGATCGATCCACGCGCCCCTTGGCTCACCAAGCCTTCCATCCCTCCTGGATCGGCCAATTAATACCAGACTTGTCTAGGAGGATAGCAGCACAGGCTCGATACATCGGTTGGCCACGGCGAGTCATTTTAAAACTCAGATATGCATTAAATCACCTTTAAGTGATGCCAAATGAAGTCGAATGCATAGCGCATCCCTCATGGTTTGATTAACACCGAGAGCTTCATCATTTACTTCACTTTTGTGCTAGCTAATGTAATACCGACTGCTGCAGGATGAATTGTCCGTTGCCAAAGAAATCATTACCACTGGACAATCACTACTATCAACAACCAGCGTCCTAAATAAAAGAGCATCACTGGGTGAGATCGCCCCATTCACGCGGTGTTTCCCTGAAGAAGATTCGACGTACCATATGCCATACGGCGGCGAGGACACCACATCGAGATGATGAACGACTGCGGACCATTGAGTCGGATCATCTGCTCTGCTGAAGACGAGGACGTCGAAATGTCAGCCGAATAAATTTTTGGCAACAACCTCGTGTTCGTTTATTGATGAGATGAGATACAGTGTAAGTTCAACCAATCGTAACTGTTTGAACGTTCCTCTCTTTATGTGTTACTGAACTATTCCAGCAGAGGAATTCCTCATGTACAATCCCCAGTCAATGCTGATTCGTTTCGTCGGCCAAAATGACAAAGCGGCCGGTTTGTTGGCGAAATTGGAGAAACGAAACGGGTCGAAATACACCTATTCACACACGATTCAACACGTTTCAATGAAAAATTCGACCGAAACCCCGACAGCTCCAAGTCATAACTGCCAGGTAGTGAAAAGAACGAGATGGAGTCCTTTAAGTTGCAGAAAAGGCAGAATAATTCAAGTCGATTACTCACAGCCTTTCAACGTTGCAACGACAGTTACTATTTATTAAGGGCAGCTAGACAATAGAAGTTGATCACTAATGCCTCGGTTAATTGAAAGTCAGTTCTTCGAATTGTGTTGAGGCTTTATTTCCGAAAACTAGAAGTTCACTCGAAATTTCACTCTGATATAAAAAGGAACAAATTGGTATATTAAAGGGAATTAATCAAATTTCTTTCTTTGGAGGACTGTAGAAATAAATATGTGAGCGCTCTTCTGGGCCTTTACCTCAACGCGAGTCGGTTAAGTTCAATTTTTTAAACAATCGGCATACACGTCCTCACTAAGGAGAGTAACATTTCAAACAATGGACGAATAACCAGAGTGATATCGTCGCTTCCATGGTAGTTAGTGGTATCGACCTGTGATATCCTAGTTCGGAAGTACAAATCGCTGTGAGATCATAAATGCATCATATTACAAAGGACCCACTGGAACGACACCATATCAAGATAATGGGGCATAATTGTTGACTAACACAAAATCCGGTCCAATACGTAGTACGGAGGAAATGATAGCGATTGAATCAACATGATGAAAAATTCTATATGCACTTCATCCAGGGAACATGTGCGAAAATGGCCACGACTACTGGGGTAGAATGTCCCCATCTTTGGAGGTGTCCAATACATCCTTAATATACACACGCGTGGCGCAATGGTCAGAGGTGTCCTGCAATACGCATGGAGTTGACCCCGTCCCCATGGCACAACAAGCGTTCCATCCCATCGAGGTCGTCAAATTCGTACGACTTGTCTGGGAGGATAGTGGCATTGGCTCGATACGTCGGCATGCCACCGCCAGTTACTTTAAAGGCCAGATATGCATTCACTCACCTCCAACGCTGCTTAGTGAAGTCGAATGCATGGTGCATCTCTCAGCGATTGATCAACGCCAACACCTTTACTCCTTACGCGGTGTTTTTGCAGTGGTTCAAGATCATCAAATATATGGCAAAAAACTGTAGTAGAATTTGCAGCGGTTCACTCTTGATCAGGTTTTCGGTTTCTCAAAGTTGGGAAATCTTGTTCAACAACCGTGTCTGCGGGGAACCTTTGAACTGTATCTTTATGAAAGTGTTTCGACACCAGCGAAGGCCACCTTACCCGCTGTAAGTTAGGAACTCATAAACTACAATACTTTTAAAGATGCAGTAACATTACCACTATCAAATAAAGGTCCTAATTCCTACCGTCTGGCCTTTTCTAATCAAAAAGATCGAAAGGAATAGATGAAACAAATATTTTTAACAGCTCGGAACAAATGCACAATGTAGCTGATGCAAAATTAACAGAATATTTCTTGAAGTCTATCCCAATATACAATATACACAAATTTCATGATGTTAACATAAGACAGCCATCGGGAGCGCACTACCCGTGAGAAGGAAACTGAAATGATGGATGGAACAGAAGTTGACACAGAGATAGACGAACAGCAACAACGACTAAAAGCTGACGTTGCGTGACGTTGTTACGTCAAATTAATTTGACAAAGAATCAAATTAACCAAACAATACCAGTTAGGAAAGGGTTGAACTGGTCATGCACAACACGCCAGAGGGTGTTTCGGTTACTTCTATATTCGACGAAACGTTATTTCGACATCAAAGCAGCAACTCGTCCGTCGAACATAAAAATGAGTGGATAAGAGCTGTCGAAGATCCATGGACTTAGGAAATCTACAACGGAATTTTCCGTAAGATAAGCGTAATAACGGCAAACATAAGAGACAGATGGCACCTATGGTCATAATGAATGATAGTGACTGGAATCACATAGAGCAATCACTTGAAGAACTCTCACTGGAAAAGTCAACGTTCTAAACAAAATTTCTTTTTCGTCAGTTATAAAACGGACGAAGCTCGTACTTTCCAAACAATGTTGTACCACGCTATCGCAGCTATAGATGCGATCTGGCGTTTATGTATTACGCTGAAGCAGAGTAGTAACATGACAACTATAACAGCTATGTACATTATGCAACGGATTCAACAGGTCACAGGTAAATTAGCATGTCAACAAACTGCTGTGGAGTGACTCGCACTGACGGAGACCCTGGCCGAAGGCAAGGATGGCCAAACGTCTTCCAGAACAGCGCCTTACAATGACAACAGATATGTATCAGATCGGCGTATACCTAAAAGTTGAAAATTCAGTACTCAACCAATCACGAGTGAGGTACTGAGACCTTCGTTTGCAATAACAGTTGAAACAAAGTTCCAAAGAATTTCAAAAAATACCTAAAACATCATTTCCAAGGGTAGTACATCATTGTTTAGATAGGTCTGATATTTCCTTGAAAAAGGTAGAGGCTGCGAGCGTAGCGATTAAATTTCTTGTGGCGAAGGATGTGTGTCGGAGCAGAAAACTAACGATGGTGTGAAGGCGTTATGACTGCGCTTAACCCTATGTGGAATGCGGTAGCTCGGGCCATCTCATCCAACTGCCTACCAGTCAGTCTGCAGTGTTAAAGCTTGACGTTAACCAACTAGTTCGACTCCAAGAGCCCGCAGAAAAATGCCATGATTCCCAGAAAATGAGGAGCTTAGTGTCTCGATAGCAGAAACATCTTTCACTTCTATCCACAAAACCCCACAGAAAGAATTGTGGCTGTAGTTAAACCAGCAAAGATCCACATATACTAGCTGAAATAGTTATGATCAGCCAAAGGTTGAAACGCTCAGAGAGACTACATAATCTGGTTAGCCAACAGAATCCAGCTGCAGGTCGACGGTAACCTAACGGAATCTGAATGCTATAGGTTGCGCGTGGTCAAACTCAAAAAAGCCAGAGTACCGTGCAGAACGTATTGGTATTACGTTGATAGGTTGTGTAAAATGAGTCAGATCTTTGTAGCTCAGATGATGCAACTACAATGAAGTCTCAGCTTAACTGGGTTCAATGTCAATTTGTTCTCCCCAGATAATTCCCGTTGATGGGTAATTGCTGACGGTACCGTAAGGATGAAAAGCTGGCTTAGAGAATGGTAAAGGAAGAGTTTGGTGGTGCAGTGGGGTGACATTTGAGCCCCCGCTAAGGATAAACGAGGGTTAGAATCTGGACTGAAAACCACACTGTCCATTCGCTTCCTGCAATCGCCTAAAACGCGTTGGTTTCTTAATGACTACATAATTGTTGCAGAACAAGAACTTGTTGAGGATGACAGCTAGAAAATATCGAATCGATACGGTTTTCCTATGGCGCTCGTGCCCTTTTCTGTTGTCGATTTAAACGCATAAGTGGATGAACAACGATATGCTTTTCAACTACAAAAAACGTACACCGACTAACAGCAAATCTTATTAATTAAAATAAAAACTATCACACTAATTTTTCCAAAAAAAAAACGCCAGTTTCCTCATTCCACTACTACAAAATTCATCTCTTCTAAGGCAAACAATTTCGCTTCTTATCATTGAACTCGTATGTGAACAGCGAAGAGACCTTGCTTTGCAATCAGTGATGACGCTAACACAAGCAGCCTAAATGTGACTGCGGCACTTGTGCTAAAAATTTTAAAAACCAACTTTTTTAAAGTTTCAATTTAATATCACCAAAGCGATGCTGAGATATTTGCAAAACTCCGGACAGCGGGCTGCAGTGAAGATAGAAGCCGCTATTACTCTTTCTGGGGGTTAACGTGTTCACCACCACAGCATGCCGGTCCTTCATTTACCTTTCTCTCACCCGTGTTTTAACATATAATTCCTATCAGCAATCATCCGTCAACGGGATTGATCTGGGATATCCACCTCAGACACCTGCGGTCCGGAGTTCTGCAAATGTCTCAGCATCACCATGGTTACATTTCACATCATACCTTGCCATAAAAAAAGGATAACCAGTAAATAAAAAGTGACTACATAGTAGCAAGATATTTCGCATTATCGAAGTGACGTCGTCTTTATTTTTGAAGGAATTTTGAACGGTTAATCATTTTTTGAAACAAACCTCACGAATCCCAAAGTACTTTTTAAGCTCGAAGAACGTCTTCCGCCATGTTTTCTCTGGCGTTTTCCGGTGATCAATTTGGCTGGGAGTGAAGTGAAATTCGCACAACGACTGCCACAGATGGCTCTCTCGATCGATGATGTTTTGAAGGGCTTCGTGAGCCTAGAATGACGTGATATGATTGTTTGCAGAAAGGAACAACATTAAAAAATTTAGCTATAAAACAATCTAAAAAATTTTACTTTAGCAGTTTCCAAGAGCGAACGGTCATCGGGTAGGCGTCGAAGAACAAGTGAGAGGATCTAAAAAGAAGAAACAATGGTTGAATGGCGTACCACCGAATGTAATAACATTACTAAAAACGAGGTTGATAAATATATTTATTTTCGGCTAACGTTTCGACGTCTTCGTCTTCCTCAGAGCCGATGATCCGAGTCGATGGTCCATGATTGTTGTTCGTCAATATCAACCTCGTGCAAGCTTATCAAGAAAGAATGCATATTGATTAGTCACACCGAGATTCAGGGAAAGTCGGTTTCGAAATATTACTAAAAACCTTCTAAAGATGTCTCAACAAGCAATTCGCGAATAAAAACTTGTTCGATTGAAATAAATTAAGGACCAGATCAAGTACATCTACGCCATGGAACACCATCAATATCTTGTACTTCTCCTTACACTTACATTCTAATAGCATCCTTACTGCTTGCTATTACAGGCTCATTTTGACTACAACCCCATTTTTCGTGAAATATTTTAGGTGTTTTTGAAGCCACTTAAACCGGTACCAATAAAAACAGTCCACATCCAAGCGTAGTAAATAGTGCGGTTGTTCGTGAAAGTGAAAATCGATGTGAAAAGTGAAAATCGAACTCTATCGCAATGAACCATTTTTCTTTTTCCACTTAATAATGGTACTCCATGATCAAAAATAAAACCGCCGAGCCAAAAATTCTGACCAAGCACCTTAAAAAAGAGAAGTGAGGAAATATCAGTAAATTAATGAAAGGACTTATGTATTACGACGTATAAGACATGTCATGAAGAAATTCTAGTGGGAATTATACCAGAAAGTAGTGGGCGTATTGTAGACAAAAGACAGTGAGCTCTTAGTCTAAGAAAGAACACATCTGACATCTACGTTATCCCGATTTCCGCACTTGTCAAACTAACTCAACCATTATCCATTCTTTGTCTTCCCTAATTCACGCGATGAAAACGTTGGTCGAGAACTTGATCATGTCGGAAGACACGCACAAGAAATGCAGAGCAGCCAAGCAGCCAAGACCCAGCATAAAAGAACCGCCTGTGAGATTACTCCGTTCGAACCGTGTTCCCCCGAGACAACTGGAGTGGATGCGACAACGAAAACCCACGTCGCGTGGAAAAACAGCTTCGGACAATCGGCTCAGATGAACGTTGCCCTGAAGAAGGCGAAGACGCCGAAATGTTAGCGGGATGAAAACTTCCCAATTCAATCATGTTGACTTAGTCATTTAAGAAACTTTGAACTAAGCTAAGATGACTGAAAGCGTAAGGCATAAACATTAAGCTGAGGTTTGCTTCTCGGCGATGTTCGTGACTTGAAAAACGAACCTCAGCGATGTGTCAGCGCCCGGTATGAGAAGCGACAAGACAAAGGATACTCAAATATCACAAAAAAAAGAGAAAGAAACAACGATGAATGTCAAAAAGATGAATGTATGTGTTTATCAACATTATGGATCTCAAATGTAATTTTTTCTATGGCCAATTCTCCCGACTTCTGTCACATATAACACATGCTTGACTGCATTGAAAGACGATGCTCAGGAGAAAAACAAATGAACAGGGAGTTTGTCAAGCCGTGAAAAGGACGTGTAAGACGAAACACCAAACTAATGAGTACACAAATCAGTGTGGAATGTCTACATCTGCTAACAGAGACTCCTTAATTCCCAGAAAACGTGGATTATTTCTAGATAAGATTAGCTATCCATTTCGAAATGGAGATTATGAAATGAATTGTAATAAATGCAAGAATTACAGGAAATGCTAACCTCTCTGGGCAAATCGAGAAAAGTTGTGCTATTCTCGTCAGCGGACAGAACTGTCTTCGGTTGTCTGTCGGAGATAACGTCCAGAAGCGAATTGGCGGTGTGTTGATGACGCGACGCTAGTTGAGGGGAGCCACAAACATGACCTTCAAGTGCTTGGCCAAACTGAAAAACAAACACGCAGTAGAACAGCAAGCGAAACAACCCCGTTATTAATGTCGACGATTCATGCTTTTACCGCTTACTTTCAAAGGTTTTACAGGTCACCATATCGTGACTATTCAACACTTTTTTAAAAATTTCTGTGAGCTTTAAGCTCATAATTGGAGCAAACACAAATTATGGCAGTCAGTATACCAGTTGTGGTAAAGATAACCAGTAGGGATCCACATCGACGATCTGTCAAAATAACTAATAGCATCCACAGTGAAGCTGCTTCATAGTTGAATGCAATCACTAGTTCGGAGAGAGATGTTCCCAAGCAATTCTCGTACGTTTCTCGATCCGAGGTATGGTTGTTGTCAGTACGGAGGCTTAGCATGGCTTTGCTCGCATTAAGCAGGACCACTACCACTGCATTAATCAGTTCCCGTTACGGTTTATTAATACTGGTGAATGTCCCATCAATTAGATTTCAAAGAAGTTTTAGGTTTTCCAAATAAATAAACGCTTATATGTGGGACGATCGTTTGGCGAAAGCAAATGAAAATCTTCTAAAGTCGCGTAAAACCGTAGGTTATTTGTTATCAATACTAGTGAAAATGCAACACCAAATTTATACTTTCCTTGAACAGTAGCTGAGAGTGTGAATGCAGATTTGAATTTAACACAACGTTGTTCAAGTCACTTCCCAACGGTTTACCGACTATACACTTGCCTTATCGCGTCTCCACAGAAACTTCAGTTAAACTAACTATGCAGATGAAAAAACCACTACCTGTTGAACCAGGTCGCGGGCGGTTGACGTGTGCACGTCTTCTTCGGACGATCGAAGCACTATGGCTGTCAGAATGCCTACCAGTGACTTCCGAGCATTTCCGGATAAATTTTGCACTTTTTCTTGGACAAGAATTTCCACCACCTATAATCATATTTCACAGTCTTATTTCAATAAGAATTTACAAATTAATGAACAACGATCAGTAAGAAGAAGTCAATAGCTCAATCCAGCTGTGTAGATGGCTGGATTTTTTCACCTGTTTTGTGTACCATTCTCAAAAAACCTCGATCGATCCCTTTGATGCCCTTACGGAAAACTCCACAGCGAACAATGTCAATTGTTATAGAGTTGGAGTTTATTTGCATATGAAGGACAGCGCATCGTTTCGTGTCCCGATCCGGCGAACTGCTTGGTACTTTGTAAGTGTTTATAAACAGCTTTTCGCTCATATCTCCACCAGACGTTCCTGTCACGCGTAGGAAGTACAAGGAGATACGAATTAGCACGAATTCGCTCTGGCTCTCATTGTACTATCAGTAAAACGCTTAAGTCAATACATTTATCAAACCGCCATTGACCTAATCGATTTTTGACAATGACGGTTTTCTGAGTATTGCTGATAATTGTTCTAAATTTTTGATATTATAATATGGAATCGAAGCCTAAAAAATGACAATGCAACAAAAAATTAGATAATTTGAACGGAAACATGGCAATAGCCAAGATATACGGTACATTAGGAGAGCCCAACTTTTTCATTCGGATTAAATCCTACTTTCTCAAATAATTCGCTTTTCGAGATACTATCCTATCGTCGACAAAAAGAATTATTTATAGGCTCCACGGAATTAGAACCTAGTAAGACGAAAAAATTCCATCAGTTAGGTTTAGGCTCTATCTCGGTTAAGAAAGCTTGGTATGTTTAGAATTGAAAGCTAAATTATTTCCTGAAATCTCTGAATCACATATGACTCATGTTTTCGCAATCTGTTAAGAACATCATGGATAATCAACAACCCAGTCTACTGATAAGCTCGCAAAAGGCCGCGAAAACTCCGTAGTGGTGGCTGATGTTTCGGAAGAATACCGCATGAAGATAATATAATACTCATGACTGTTCCACTTTAGTCAAATTAACTTGATGCTACCACGAAAACTCACACAGGAAATAAGTGATATGGACATTCGAGTAATACTGATGCGATTCTTGAGATGACAATGCCACCGAAACGTTAGCCACAATAAAGATTTCTAATTTCTTTGTGTAAATACATCAATAAACTAAGAAACTATGTTTGCCCTATACCTTCTCGAAACAACACGGCTTGAGTTAAAACCATTTTCAAGAATAAAAACGCATGAAGTAATACCTTGGCGATATAGCCGAAGCGTCGCACATCAGAGACACCTCTGGTGAGATCTAAGCGATGAAATGCTTCGCTTATGCTTGTGCATCCGATAAACTGAAAACTACAAGATTAACAACTGAAGGAAAAATGACCAGTACATTAAAGCAAGAAAGAATTTGTCATTAACATAGCATCAGGCTTACAATTTGTTCTGTTTTGATAGCCGCGAGCTGTGGTCACAGTTACACTTTTTTTAACAACACATTCGCCGTTCTGCATCAAAACAGATTTTTGACGATCTATCAAATTTAAGAAATCGTCAGAAAGCTTCAATAAACACATTAGTTCAGTACAATTGCCACGTTTCCCACATTAGGTTCAGCTCTTGAATTTTCTATTCGTCTACTCCGCATCCATTCCACTATACCCACATACGAAAGCTACTTGGAAGAATTTCGCACAACAGCTAGTGGTCACCATACAAAATTTGATATTCATATTTCTGTTTATGCACACACATGTATACATACATATATATATATATATACATATATATATGTATACTTATTCGGATACTTCGACGGCCCGTCTTCACTGGCTGTGCGGGCCCCAGTATAGTGTCCATTTTCTAGAGTTTTGCTAGTTTAGCCACCGTGCTTCACTGGAGACCCGAGGTCAGCCAGACCAGAGTCTGCCCCAGGTCGTTACCACCACAGGCAGTCGCCGTCTTTGTGCATCAGAGGAAGATTTGCCACCATGCGACCACTTTGATACCAGGACGGTGATGAATCCAGGTATTGGTTTACTCTTAGCTGGGCTTTATGATGGAAACGCCGGACTCCTTCTCAGCTTGGGAGACCTTGCCAGGGGGATGAATCCCTCCGTTGTACATTGCAGCCCGACACCCAGGAACACCTCCCAGCCACAATGTGGCGGTAAAGTGTTGGGAGGATACACATGTATAAATAGATACACATGTATGCACGTGCACATACACATATAACGTATATATATATATATATATACATATATGTACATATATGTATGTAATACTACATTCACACGACAATAGGATTCAATGAAGTGCCGTAAGATTACAAGAGACTGTTCTGTCCTACCCTCATCGACTTCAAAAAAGCCTTCGACTAAGTTGAAACAGAAATGGTTATGGTAGCTGTAGATAGCCACCACGTCCCTATTCAATATGCACAGTTTGTCACAAGCTACACAAAAATTTCGCGACCAACATATCACAATATTAACATCGATTTAGAGAAAGAGCTTCGACAAGGCGATACCATCTCGCCGGAAATATTTGCAGCCACCCCTAGAACGCAGTGCAAAAATTGTAATAGGAGAATGAGGGAATGAAAGCCGATAGTCGGCAATTACACCATCTTCACTATGAGATGGTGTCGCTCTTATAACACCAAACATTAGCAAAATGGAACGACTTCTCGCCAACTTTGACGACGCCTGTGGAATGATTGGTGTTCGACTAAATTCAATTAAAACGCTGCTCGTGAACAGCGGATTTGTTTCTTACAGTCCATTCAAACCCAACGAAATTAATATCTCCGAACGATTTAGAAGGAAGCGAGTGGTTTGGGAAACCTTTAACAGCACCAAGGATATGGTGAAGAGAACAAATAACACTCGACTCCGTGCCCACCTTTCCAACTCTGGAATTCTTCCTGTCTTAACGCACGCGTTGGCAACCTAGTCGCTACGTAAGATGACGGATTAACACCATTACAGAATCAGAAGTGAAGGGGGTTATGCTTGGAGTGCCCCACATTACGCAACCGAGAGAGGCGATCCGATGTCCTCATCCATGTTACAAATCGAAGATCAGAGAAGCCGTTATACAGACCAAAATGACGAAAATCAGGTGGGCCCAACACATGATGCATCCACATGACAACTGATGGACAAGAGCTGTCAGCGAATGAGTTTCACGTGATGTCAAATACATAGCAGTAAGACCACCGGTACGATGGTCAATTTTCTTCATAAGAACTCTAGAAGAATGACATGGTGATCGGCCAGTCCCTCAAGCGAGGAGAACCTACTGGGCTACTTTGCGCAAAAATAAGAAGCAACCACATGTGAACTGATCGCGTGATGGGAAAGTACATACAGATAGCTGGGAGTAGTGCCTAGCAAATAACCCCCCAATCTACCAAGTGAGATTTTCAACAACTATCTGTGTGCAGTACACAGCCACTTAGCTAATTCAGTGTACTATTCCTGGGTGCTCTCTCGCCAAAAGACCATGAAAATAAAAAGAGTGCAGACCAATAATGAGATGTTCTTCGCGTCGCTCTAAAGCGAGTGAAGCCACTGGTCAGCATGGCAACGTGATAAGAAGGGATGAAGCTTTCATTAGCTCCCCCCCTCCCCACGTAACTCGCTAATTAACAGAGTGACGAGTGGTAAAGGAAGTAAGACTTATTATCCACAAATAGCAGAACAGTGAAAAAGAGGTAGAGGGGATTAACGCAGACGACGCATTGTATTAAACAGTATCATCTAAGCAGTGGCATTCCACATCGACACTCAAATTAAACGCATAAGTGGAACATCTTTTCTTGAAATCGAATCAGCTGTCCTGTCTCCTGTTCTGTTACTTTGTAAACAGTCAAGTAGCTCATACCGACACACTTAAATCTATATTTGTCCTTGTTGCTGGTCCGAGTCACTCAGTGAACAATTTCAAAGAATGCGAAGAGCCTCACATTTTCCATGAGACTTCTTTTTATTATGTTTCTCTAAGCGTTAGCCACAGAAAACTCAAACAGCACAGGTTCACTCATAGATGTATTTTCAGATGCACCAAACTCCTTTCTATCCCAATGCACTTTAATGGACCTTTCGGTGTACATAGCAACCTAACATCAAGGAACACCTCAAAGGCATAGCGAAGGTATAAATATATTCCTAACAAAGCATAAAATTGGCTCCAATAAGCTTCAGCCAAAACTAGTAATCCTTGTTCTTTCCAGTATTCCTAATAGTTTACTAGTCCCAAGTAAAATTTATAAGGCCCGTAGGAAATATTTACTTAATAAACAAATAAAAATTAATTTTCTCACTTCTTTCGATTTGCTTTTCACAAAACAGTGTGGAATCCATCCTTCCTCGAGTTCGGAGACTGAAATAAAACACAATCAGTCGTTTCTGCACACCCACCCATTGGAACCTAAACCCATCCCAAACACCACTAGTTGGCTTAAGTTGTGGGAAGAGACGACGGGAAATTGCTTCCATTATGTTTGATCAATAGGAGCAAGGTGTGAGTCGTAACCATGGATTGCATTCATTAACAGATTTCGCAGCCAGCTCGTACACTAACAAGTACGACCAGGTCGCATTTGAGCAATTTATTACGGAAAAATATTGGTATATGATGCTTCTGTCAGAAAAAGCTTTAGAAAAAGAAAAAAAATCGAATTTGGAATAAACTTCTGAACTCTGTTCCCAGATTTTCGCATGTAAACCATTTTAACATATCACACTGACGATACATGTAGTTTTGTTACAACCTTTAATATAATACTAAGAATGTCATTCCAAAGTTCCTGTGGCAGACTTTGGCCAGGCTGACCTCGCGACTCCAAGGAAACGCAAAGATTAAACCAGTAAAACTCCGAAAAATGGAGAATATACTGGGGTCCGCACAACCAGTGAGGACCAGCCGTCCGAGTATCCAAATATTCCAAACCCAGTTCATTCACGTTTCCACCAATTCACAATGGACATGGTTTCATCACCATGATTTTCCAATTTGCAACAACTTGGTTTTTTTGAGCTTCGGTTTCCTCGTGACGTATAGTTTTCAGAAACGACTCTTACGTAGAGTTGTAATGAGGAACAACACCCTAGGAAACACATCTGGTCTTATGCTCAAGATCAGGTGATTAGGTGGTAGATTATGGTCGATGGTCGGAGTCGCATACACCTGTCAAGATCACGAACAGTCACGAGTTTTGGTCGTGTGAATGGCTTTACGACAGATGGACACGCGGAAGCTCTATCTCATTAGACAACTCTATAGCTATAAGATTAAATTTTGAAAAAAAAAACTTCTGCGCGTGATTTCACAGTAATTGCACGAAAAAAAGGGCTCTGAAACGTTGAGGAACGAAAAAAAACAACAAACGCAAGTTCCCAAAGCTGACTATTTTAGAAGCACTTTAAAGCAATATCCAGGTCACCGCAAATGTACCCTCACCGAAATTGGCACAGGTGGTTCCAGACAATTAGTTTCGCTACACATGTAGTTCTCACCACATGTCACGACTTGCGCTATGAAACCAATTATGAACCGGAACTGCCTCTATTCCTATCACCCAAACAAAGGAAATCTACAAGTGGAAGACATATATTCCTCAGATAATATTCATCATCTATTTTTCAGCAAAGCTGAAGAAATTGCGCGTTTTCTTAACGAAAACAAATAATCATATAGCACTTCAAATGAAGCTTTTAGTGGTCCAGGGTTGACAAAAACTGCTACCTTCAATTCAACTGTTGTTCTAATAGGCTAAACTAGAAAGATTTGGATCGTCTTCCAGGTAGTTAACCTCGGCCATATCCTGGTGTTAACATCATAGTAAACAAAAAAAAGAGAAAGCTCCCGACGTTTATTATCTCCTCGGAGAAGCGTCATGCATTCGCCCTCGTTTAGCATCCTTAGAGGTAACTGAACGCATATCTGGCCTCTACAATGACTCGCGGTGGCCTACCGATGCATCAAACCAGTGCTGTCATTCTCCCAGTCAGGTTTGGTACCAATTTACCGATCACGGAGGGATAGAAGACTTGGGAAGCATAGGGTACGGGATCGAATCCATGTGTACTGCACAAGCCCTCTAACCACGCGCATTACGCGCGCCCGTTTAAATCATACTTGAAGTAATTTTATGAAAAATAGCAATCCCTGTCATGTGAGAGCAGCACTTGTTTGATAAACCACGTAACTCAACATGGCACAATATCTACCATTACTGATCTTTCGAAGCATTTCCTCAATCACGGCAGCTTAAAATTGGTAAGTGATATATCAAAATATTTTCTCATACACTAAGTTCTGATGAATTACGTCGATTGGCAAGGAAGCTGAGAAACGACTTCATAGGTTTACTGGATAGAAAGGACGAATACTACCCTAATTCTAGCAAAACTCTACACGTTGGCAACCCAAATTTAGACCGATGGTACGAAGATCGTTGGTTGTTCAAATGAATAGTAGACTAAATAGAGACACCCGAACGTTAACACCAGTCATATGAGATAAAATTAAAACTCAAGATAAGTTTAATATCAACGCTTTAGAAGGGCAGTTTTCCAATTGTCAACAACAAAAAATCATAGATGTACTTACTTGGGTCCTCTGACAGTGATTCACTTCGGCTGCCATTACCGCTGTCCAAGCTGAACAATGACGTAGACGAGTTCGTGTGACAGATTTCATTCTCAGAGACAGCACCTGGGATGGGAATTGCGTCCGAGACAATCTACAAAGTGAAGAAAGATTAAAAACTGAAAACTATCACAGTAATCAAACAAGGGTAGGTGGGGAAATCGGAAAAAAAAAACGAGTGTCAACTGCTATGGTAGAAAGTGGCCACCCATTAGACTGATCTCTATATGGGTTAAAAGTAATGGGAAGAGGCATATCACGTCTCGGAAATAATTTCTTGGATACCACTGATCTAGCTGTATAATAATAGTAATTTTCAGTAAAATTGAAAAACTAGAATCCCTCTGATTCCTGAATGTCAGAATTTTAAAGGAAGCAGACATGCTCAAGAGCCTGTGTAGGGCAGTGAACAGTGAACAAACATGTCCTACGGTACAAACTTGGTCATTGGTTCGCCCCCTATCCAGAGTTTACCAATCTCAAATTCTTCTAAGATCAATAAAGCAGCTCCAATTTTGTATGGGAGGATAAAAAACACTAAACCGATAGTCCAAACAAGACACTGTGTAGGCCAATTATGCTCAAAACACTTCCACGACGCTTAACGGAGTCGAATGTATGGTGCTGGGTATGGTGCATCGTTAAGGGAAGTTTCAAATGCTGAGCGTTTTTAAGACATTCGACAGCACTTAAGATCTCTAGAAACTTGCAGTCTACGAGTTGGAGTATTGGAAAGGAACAGCTTTTTTTAAATGTGTACTTAATCTAATAGCAGACAGAAAAGCCTGAAAGGAAGTAACTGGAAAAATGATGTTGGGCGACCAACTAGTTGGTTGATACAACAGTTGCCATGATTTAGGCTTTTTGTTAATAAATCGCATTCCCATGACAGAACACAGCGGTGATCGTGACGGGAAATAATGGCACTGGAATGGAGAAACTGTGGACTCATTGTCCATTTTCTGTGTTGTGTTCGTCTTCCAAAACAAAGAATGGAATTGAAACAAATCGAAGAAAGAAGCGATGGAAATAAGGGATAAAAGAATGCGCACGGTTACTCGTGTGATGAAGAACTACTTAGTATACTGCTAGTCGAACGTATAGTAGGATTAATGAAGAGTCATAGGTCAGTTGAGTGTGAGAAAGCCAAGGTGTTTTCCAAAACCACGACCTAAAAGGCCTCAAAAAAGACGAAAATGATGAGGGAAAAGTGTTCAAAGAATGATAGGCTGGTCTCGATAGCCGATTGTAAAGGGATGGAGATCCCCTTAATCGTAAGAAAAGTACGGTCAGATGTACCATAATCGACGAGAAATCTACCGTATTTCTCGAAGAATGAGATAAGGGGTTCCATGAAAGACTACTGAAGTCAATTTGCTCTAATTTTTTGTGGCCAAGTGCTCCGATTCCAAGTGTTCACAAAGTGAGACATATCGCGGCATTTTCATCTCCGCATCTTGTTCATCGTCAACAAGAGCAGACTCAAAAAATATGTGAGCTTCTAAGAGAATCCAGCTGAGATAAAGGCGAAACGAAGGATCCGCATGGTGTGGTGGTGAACGCGTTAGCCCCCGGAAAGGGAAAGCGCGTTCGATTCCCACCGCAGACACCTGCCGCCCGGAGTCTTGTAGATATCTTAGCATCATTATGTGATCTTCATTCAAAAACAGTTCAAGGCGATTGCAGAAAGGGATTTTGTGGAAGTAACGGTTCCATACGGAGATAGCGAAATCGGTGACACAAAGTGGAGTCACTACTCGCAAATACGCTATGAACTTTATATTCCAGATAGGGAAATCGACCGCATGGCTTTACCAGATGCTCTAAAGAAATAGATTTTGTGGGCTGTCAATAATGAGCATGACAATGTGATGAAGCGGTTATTCAAATCTGAGAACAAGTGGGTTGTATGAGTTGTAATGAGAAAAACTGAAGTATGATACAAGTATGGTTAGATTGCAGAAGCTGGCACGTACACTTGGCCTAGTCATGCCATACCTCCGGGCGCTGCTGCGTGACGGTAAGCGCCAAAACCGGAACTTGGGGACAGTCGAACGGTTCCGGCTACCGAGGAACATAACAGACTGGCTCACCTGGATCGGTCGCAGCTTGGAACGTTCCCAGCCATTGGTATGCGGGGTGCGCACCCACGTCTCACCGGGAGCCCGCCAGTCGCGACCCATGAACGGCATCGCAGCTGCTGCACTGCCGCTCCCGCACTCAGCTGATTCCGCTGCGTCTGTGCCCGCCTGCGCCCTGTCCGTCTGCACTCTGCGGAGCACGTGGCCGGCGTCAGCTGGACGCAGACAGGCGCCCACGGCAGCTGACGCACGTTGCGTAGCTGGCCGGCAGTGCCGTTATCGCCGCTTCTGCACCTTTCCTCTCAAGCGTTCACGACCGATCGGCTATCACTTTATCGCCCTAAGGTCATTAGTGTGGGTGGACGGCTCGACGTCGTCGTCGTCGCTGAACTTTCCCGTCTTTGCTGTGCCGTCCATGCATGCTGGCTTCTCGGTCGATTGCCGCGTGTCACGTAGAAAGGACGTCTTTCGCAAATATGCAGGACTACTCTTAGTGGCGCGAGTTTATGCTTTTGTAATAAGTTTTCTGCCGTTAGAATTCCTTGAGTTAACTGAAAAACTACTTCTGGGAGATGTCTCGTCTCTCTTCTCGTATCGTGAGATACTGAGACACTTCCCATACTCGTAGATTATGAGTAGCCAGTACACTAAGAAAGAAGTTCCAGTAAGATGGTGTAATAAAGGTCCGTTGGTGGTTCAATTACAAATCGAAGAAGCAAGTATTGTCAGAAGTGGTTTTGTTCATTTCTGACCCATAAATTATTGTTTTTGTCGACCTCTGGGTATTGGTCCCTTTCTTAGAGCTCTAGAAAGGCTAAGTGTACAAAGCGTAGGTTTCTGCAAAGGTTTGCGTCCTTTTTGAGGAAAGCTTGTGAAAATCAGAAGAAAAAGTTCTGCTCGCCGTTGGCTGTTGTGGAACAGAAGAGTGTCTCCTGCCAAATTGCAGCTAGGTTGCTACGAGTATCCCTAGCTATCGTTCTCTGTTAGATGTCTCCTTATGAAAAAGTCCAAAATCTCAGTTTGAGCAACTTTGCTAGGACAAGTCCCATCATGGCCCACCACTGGAGAACGGGATCACGCCGAGATGAGGTAACAAGCCACAGGAACGCTAATTGTGATAACACTGAGGGAGCTCGGATTCTTTTTCTCAGAAAGTATTTTCTTTTTCCTTTATTATGCTTCTATTTGACTATGGTGTGTTTATTAGATTTCCCATTCTTTCTGCTGAAATGTGCTATAATCCGTAATGTTTACAGAGTGATGAATGGACATGAATCCGATTACAACTCTTCCGAGGACGAAGACTACGTGCCGGACGAAGAGGAGGACGTTGACTATACGTCTGGGGAAGAGGTTTCTTTTTAAACAAGCTCTTCTTCTCTCCGTTCAACAATGCAGCCATTTGCGAGTCATATTATCTTAACGAGCTGAATGGTATTTCGTTTGGTAGGTGATTCGTCGTCTATCGAGCGCAAACGAGACATTTCAGATCGGATTCGCATTTAGTAAGCCAGGACAACGTAGCAGTCATATTACGACTGACCCATTGATAGTTTCTTCTTTATTATTTAAGATATGTTCAAATGTTGTACACGGTTCTTACTCGTCTGTTTGGTTCAACTTTTACTGACAGTGGCATCTATCATAGTCTTAACAATTTACCGCCTTATCATAGCTGAGAGGGTTCCTGGGTGTCGGGCTGCCATGTACAGCAGGGGGACTTATCCCCCGGGCAAGGTCTCCCAAGTTGGGAAGGAGTTCGGTGTTCCCATAAGGAAGCCAAACTAAAAGTAAACCAGTACCAGGATCCACCACCGTTCTGGTCTCAAATTAATCGCATGATGGCAAATTTCCCTGTGATCCACAAGGGTTAAGACGTAGGCTGACCTCTGTACCCCAGCGAACTACAATGGTTAAACCAGCAAAACTCCGGTAAAGTAGAACTTATGCTGAGTCCTGCACAGCCAATGAAGACGGGCCATCCAAGCATCTGTGTCATCTATTATGTTGTCTCGCAGATTATAACAGTTGTTAGTTGGAGTAGCAACGCGAGCAATGCCAGCGAGCAGTTCGAGTTTGCTTTATTCTTACATATTGTTGATCATGTTCTGTTCTCGTTACCATTTGTACATACAGCAGGTGTTTTTGGGATATGTTTAGGTTGACGAAATCACGGATAACGATGCGCAAATGTTGACGACAAAAAGGAAACGTCGAAGCAAAGACAAGCACATTGGCACTCCTGCCGAGGAAGCACTGTAAGTATTAAGTATCCCTCGTATTTAAATGCGGAAGTTTTGAAATAAAATGCTATGACGAGGAATCGTCGTTGTGAAGAAAGATCTGTCCACTTTGTGTGGCATCATCAATGTGGGTGACAGTATCCTTCTAATGTGCATTGACTATATTTCTCTTAAAACAGATGAAGCCCTTCGTTTTTCATCACTGGGTATAAAACATCCAGGTGATCGAAAAAGGGACCCATAATGACTATGAATTTGTCGGGAGTGTTTACTCTAAAACACGTGCGCACTGGATATTTTATGGATTTGCAAATAGAAACGAATAAAAGGAGGGAGACAATGACGTATTCCAATCAGGTCCCTGCGTAATATTCTTGTACGTGGTGCCCTGGCGTTCCACTCCCAGCTTAATATAGAGAATAGGTTTTCGCTAAGTAGGTTTCATAGTAAATTCGGTGTGTTCTTTCTTTGATGGGCTTACACGAGTTTGGTAATGATATTTATTTTCGGCTAACGTTTCGACGTCTTCGTCTTCCTCAGAGCCGACGATCCGAGTCGGTGTCTCCAACATTATTTTCTCTTGACAATTCATAATTTAATTCGACTTTCTTAATTTTCTTCTTGATTCTGGAGGAAATCTTTTTATTCCCTATAGTTGGTAGTGGAGGTAATGCAGGTGCTCTTCCAGTTTATTACAACTAAAATAACTTATAACTTCTAATAACTAATAGTGATAACTAAACTAATATAATTTGTAACTTCCCACTGAAAATAGTGGTATAAACTATTGGAATTCATGGTATAATTTGTGCAGTTGTCCTTTACTATGGAATTTCTCCTTAGCCACCCTAGATTTATTCAAACACCAAAGTCGGCACTCAGCAGACATCTCGTAATACCAGGTTTACAGGAAAAAATTTTTTGTATTGTGGCGATTTTTGTGGTAGCTTTAATTCGGCAAGCAGAATGTGGAAATAAATAGTTTTGACGTTATACCTAGTGTAGAGTTATTATTTTATCAGCATACCTTTTTTATAGTTTAATGGATGAACAGTAGGGAAAGTTAAACGGTACCCGTCTTACAATCGGCAGTCTCATGGTTGTGCGATGATTTGCACACGTTGTTCAATTTCTTTGACTTTAGTGTGCTTTTAGTAACTCTGCAGAGGATGGTGACGAAGATGATGCCGAAGCTGCTTTCATTGCACTTATGGCTGAGGAAGATCCCATTCTTAGGAAGAAGCGATCCGAGTCTGCTCAAAATCCATCAGTTTTCGCCAAGTACGTAATAATTGTACCCTACTTTTTGTTATCCCAACGCTATGTTTCCATTATTAGATTTAGTTCTGTGTCCATCATGGTATCTAGCGTTCTCTTCGCGTTTCAGGTTGTGCGCATCTCTGGAGACCATCGCATCCACTTCTTCTTCATCAGCGGAGTCGATACAACCGGAATCAAGGAATGGGAGAACATTAATTACAGAGGTCTACGATTTTGCTGGAGATGAAGTGAGGTGTGGTAGTATTCTATTTACATAAATCAGTTGCTCGATGTAGTCACAATTCTAGTAATTATCGTAGTGCAGAATCTAATTGAATAGTAAGGTTATGAGGTTATCTACACGTTATAAATTTTAGAGTAGAGAGGGAGGTCACATCTGAAGAAGCGCAGGAGATAGAAGCTAAGGAAAAGCGCAAGGAGAATGGCAAGTTAAGGAAACCCGCACAGAAGTGTGTCATCCTACGTTGTTCTTCATGTGCTTTCATAGTAATGTGCACTTTCGCAGGATTTCGGCATGCTTGAGATTTTTAGGCGTTTGGGTCTGTGCGGTGCGTTAACACTGTTAGCAAAGAAGCCGAAGATGTCAATTCTAGATAAATCAAATCTTGACTGGACGAGTTTCAAAACGGAAAACAATCTTCAGGTACCAACTAACAAACTAGTGGAGGAGTCTGCTAAGCACTGAACATAGGCAGGCGCTTTGCTGACGTATATTACGTTTCTTTATCGCGTTCCATTTAGGAGGAATTGGAGACTTTTAATCGTGGCAAGAACGGTTATCTCGATCGAATGGAATTCCTATCCAGAACGGATTATAAGGAATTCGAGAAAGAAAAGGAATTAAGAAACGCGTCACGAAAACCGCTGTGAGCTCTGCGAATTGTTGTTGTTTATCGCTATTGGCTTCATTCCCCTCCCCTATGTATGTTTTTGAACTGATTAACTGATTCTGAGAACTTCTGTGTTAGTAGCAATATGAAATAGCTCGCTCGACCTTTTCGCATATGATTATTGGTTGTACTTTGTTATTATTCGGCATATTAACAGTTTTGAAGGTTTCCCAAGTAACTGGTCCAGTCTACTGTTGTTTTACTACTGTTCTTTACTGCATTGTTTTCCCTTGACTTACCCATTGTGTTTTATCGCCGTTCATGCTCAGTAAGTATTTAACGTAGTTAAGCAGTTATGCTTGAGATCTATAGAGAAATCGACTTCTTGGTACATATTGCTCCATGTGGATCTTTGTTATTAAGAATGTGGTTCTACACATGGTTCGAGATAATCCTTTCATTTTGGGAATCACTAGGTTTTACTTTCGTGGTTTTGTGTCATGTTTGTACTTCTATGTGTTGTGTTGTATATGAATAACTAAACTCCATGCTTTTCTGATACTTGATTTATGGTGTCTGGTGTCGAAGAATGGTTAGAGACCTTGCTCATACTTACGCATGCAAATGGATTTTTAAAGTTAAGTGCCCATATCAGCACCTCGTCGATGCCGGTTGTGGTTTTATAGTCTTAGTAACGTCGGCACATCATTCCAAGCACGGCATTTCTGTGCAAACACTTTCCAATTTCTTTCCATTCAAGCCTTCATGTAGTTGGGATGTCGGCTTCATAATGGATTTCTGGACTAGATCCTTTTTCCATTCTTTTAATAAGTGGATAGCATGGAGTAGCTTGCTGCGTCCATCAAATAGGAAATAGTTGAGCTTTCGATTTTGGGTGGACATCTATCAAGTTTTAGTGAATTTATGTAGTTGAGGTAAAGATCACTGGAAGATGCATGTCTCTGCTGAGAAGTTGGAACTTTCTTCTTTTCCAGTAGTGGAGTTCTGATTTAGCATCGTCCTTTCGACTACTCGTTCAATAACGTTGTGTGATCTTCTATCCCGTTTACGCAGCGAATATGTTTCTGACGCTTACGTTAGGGCAGGAAGTACCGTCGAGTCGAAAAGGTGGGCACGGAGTCGGGTGTTCTTTGTTCTTCTCACTGCTTCCTCAATGCTCTTGAAAGCTCTCCAAGCCGCTCGTTTCCTGCTCAACTTTGGAGCTAAGTCGTTCATAATGTTGATTTTCCAACCTAGATAGGACGTAACTGGAGCATTCGGAGATATTCATTCCGTTAATGGTGAATGGGACACATGAAACCAATCCGTTCCTCATGAACATCGTTTTTATGAGATTAGTCGAAAACCAATCCTTCTACAAGCTTTGTCAAAATCGGCAAATATTCGTTCGTCAGGTAAGTTGTCATAAGTCAAGTTGGCCGACACCCAGAATACAGTGAGTTCATCGATTGCTTGAAAAATAGTTGACATTGTCGTATAGGCTTCACATTCTGATGGTGTCACGTATTACTTAAGGGCGCACTGTGGTTTAGGTTCACAGTTGATCTGTTACGACATACCATCTCAGGCCATAATGGAATTCTCCGTAGTTGGCGATTTTTTGTAGTTGTCCATTCACAGTGGATGCTATTCATTGGTTATCATAGATCAGGGATTTTTTTGACGGATGTAAATCCTTACATTGTTTGCTTGGATGGAATCAACGACTTCCGTGTTTCTCTATGCGATACTTTAATACAGTACGATGATATAGTTAACGATGTCAAATGTAGAGACACGTACATTGAGACAAGTGGCTCTAGACTATCGTGACTACGTCGACAATGTTTTGTCTTGCTAGCAGTCTCTGTAGGTAAGGCCACTCAGTTCTTAACAGACTGAGCAACATGGTTTATTACTTTCTACTGACCCCAGAAGAGGTGACTACGTGCTGGGGCTCATCATCTATCGTTTTTTTTTGGTAGAAGTATAATTTTATATAGAATCAGGAAAGTAGGTCTGTCTGGGATGTTAGGTATTTTATTTGCAGTTTTTACATTTCTATTCTTTGTTTTGATGTCCAGTTCATGTGGTTCTACAGATTGAGGCTATCCACAATTTTTACCTAGAATGCATTTAACGTCGTCACTGCGTCGGAATAGCTCAACATCATCAGATAGCGAAGGAATCCACGGTAACAGCAGATTCATGGAAGGATTGCGAAGTGATCGACGACGACACAGTGATGATGACAGTTCGTCCTAATATGTTTGTGTGAAATATTCTTGACAACATAGTAGTCAACTCTCCAGTGATATTTCACCATTGTTCCGCTTTTCCTACAATAGGCGTAAGTTACTGTAGTATCAGAACGTAGGTATAAAACGTTTATGTTCTCATCATAAGTTTCCATCTGTTGTCATCCCACATATTAAGAGTTTTCACGTGACGCTCGTCGAATATTTCGTGTGCTTACCGAGCGTGATCCCAGGCTGACCACAGAACAAGGGATTCGAAGACTATTTGATGAGGTTGACAGCGGCAACGTGCAGACTCAGGAAGGTATTACTACAATTTCACTTATAGTTTACTATTTAAAGTATTCGTCTATTCTGGTTTCTGTTTGAACTCTACTTTGATGATTCTTTCAGAGCTCTTCGAGAGAATGTTCAACATTGCTGAAATTGAAGAGAATATTCAGCAGTCAGCAGCGACAACGGTGTGGTTATACGTCTTTTCTTCTTTGTGGCACTGCTTTGCTTATGTCTAAAAACAACAGGAAAGGCGACAATAGATTTGAAAGAGACTTGGATACTTACCTGGACACGCAGGCAGCCCGTCCTCACTGGTTGTGCTGACCTCAGCATAATCTCTATTTTTTGGAGTTTTGCTGGTTTAGCCACTTTGGAGTCACGCGGTCAGCCTAGCCAATGTATGCCCTAAGTCATCATCACCACAGGCAGTCGCCGCCTTTGTAGATCAGGGGGAGATTTGCCACTGTGCGATTGTTTTGAAACCAGGACAGTAGTGAGTCCTGATAGCGGTTTACTCTTAGCTCAGTTTCCTGATTGAATCGCTGAACTCCTTCTCAGATTAGAAGACACTGCCGCGAAGATGAATAACCACGCTGTACATCGTAGCGCAACACCCAAGAACACATCCCAGCTATGATGAGGCGGCAAAGTGTCGGGAGGTTTTATCAGACTAGTTCTCAAAATCAGTCAGTTATTGAACGATTGTTCTTTATGCATTGTAGAAAAGGAAAACGGTAGTCTTAATAGTGGTTCAATGCAAACTGTATTCACTAAAATTTTAAGATTTCCGCTGTAGAACATGTAATTTCAGTGCAGTTCTTCAAATCAGATATAGTAGAAACTACTATTTATGTTATTACATAAATCATATTCTTTAGCCAGAAGATGAGAACTTATTTGTGGAACATTTGCGGTGCACTGTAGAAGGTATGGGGAAGCCACAGTTGGAGGATCGCAATGGACAGCGTACACATAAATCAGTGGTAATACTGTCTTGTATTTTAACTATTCTTTGTGCTCTTTTCAAAAAGGTATGTGCTGATTTATATTTAGCACCTCAGCAAATTCGATAGCTTCATCGAATACCTTCTGCAGAAGATTAACCAGCAGTGGTTGTCATTAATCTATGCAGTTTTTCCATTTCATCAAGTGCAGACTCTGGTGTTTATATGTCTCGTGCAGTTTATAAGGTAAGATATACTCTTCCCTAATATGCAAGAATTGACGACGTTTTTAGCGAACTAAAAATCTGCAAAACACTCGACAATGAACGGCATTTTATGGTGTTAGTTTAGAGGCTCGTGTAGCATAGTGCTCAGAGACGCCCTGCAATACACATGAGATCAATGCTCACACCTAAGGCTCACCATACCTTCCATCCTTCCGGGGTGGGCAAGTTAGTACCAAACTTGTCTGCGAGGATTGCAGCACTGACTCGATACATCAGCAGGCCACCTCGAATCATTGCAAAGGCCGGATATGCATCCAATCACTTTCAGTGATGCTTAATGAAGTTGAATGCATAGCGCATCCCTCAAGGGTTAATCAACGATTTTTATCCTTTATTTTTATCCTTTTATTTAGCTTGCCATCGTTGCTGCGTGTACTACCGATCATCGTAGCTTACGTATCGTTTTTCTTTATGGTATATTTTACATTGAACATGTTTCATAACAAAAGGTATTCTTTTATATCTTCGGCGATACAATATCATACGCGGTTAATGTTTTGTTTATTACTGCAGCATAACACGGCAACATAGAACTTGGAAAAGACTTCTTGACGTATTCAGTGAAAAGAACAAGGAGGAGAACGAGACGTCGTTTGGTGTCAGTCCCATTTTTCAAAGAATTTAAACTGTTATAGCCCTTAATACTTGAACGCATTGTTGACTTTAGCCTAGACTTTCGAACGTAGCTTTTTTATGCTTTAGGGAAAACTCGAATTTGTTTTAAAAGTCGTTTTGGAACTCATCTTTCTTGTTTGCTGCTAACATGAATATTGTTTTAGGAGTCCTACTTCATCACTGACAATAATTGGGAGCCTTATATCAACTTCGCATTTTCTCTATTAGCGTTCATATTAGCAGGTATCATATCTTGCTAAGATAAAGCTTTATATCAACTCTTTGTTTGCTTGAAAATGACCTAACTTACGGAAAAGGTGCAGTAGCTTTAAAAATTTATCTAGTTTTCTTATAATTGGAATGCAAAAGAAAAGGCTTAGGGTTCAAATGCAGTATGACTTTTTAAAGCGAGCTCTTTGCATGCAGTGAACAGAAGAGAGTTCATTCAGTTGGAGCGGCCGACAAACATCTACCCTACTGTTGTCTGGCATGCGGTATATCTACGTTTTTCGCCATGACTACTTTTGTCAGCCTAGCTGACGCCAATGACAGATATGCCCTGTTTGGCGTGTTTGCTAACATGATGTCATGGTCAATTGATTATCTTCTGTGAAACACTGATCTTTGGTTGGATGTCTTATGTTTTATTGGCTATGACTTTCAGCCTTCCCACTATCTTGTCGCGGATGCGATTCGCAGCTGGGAGCTGGCGTATTTGGCGTCCTTTAGTTCATTTCAGAATTGGTATGTGTTCTTGAATCTGCTCTTACTAATGGCATCAGTTTTGAATTTTGTAGGTTATATGGCCGTGAATTTGGGAATTCCTTCTATATGTCTTCTATCAATTCCGATAGTGTATTTTCTGATGGCAACTAGGACTAAAACATGGCCAGAGGCTGCACATTCAGTTGTGCCTCACATAGTGAGCAGTTTCCGTGGACATTCTTGTTTTTATATATCCTAATAAAGCTCCCTAAAGCTCTCGACGTTGATCAATCCCTGCAGGATTCGCCATGCATGCGACTTCATTATGTATCGTTGGAGGAGATTTAATGCATATCTGGCCTTTACAATTACTTGCGGTGGCTTGCCGATGTATAGAGCCAGTGCTGCTATCCTCCCAGACAAGTCTGCTACCAATTTTCCGACCGCGGAGATATGGAGGGCTTAATGGGTCATGGGCGCGGGAATCCATTCCACATGTGTGTCGCAGTATCACCTCAGCCACTGCGCCGCACGCGCTCTAATTTTATATATCTTATGTTTTTACATATTTTATGTAGGACACCTCCCAACCGTTTACCGCCTCATCGTGGCTGGGGGTGTTCCTGGGTGTCGGACTGCTATATACAGCGGAGAATTCATACCCTCGGCATTGTCTCCGAAGCTGAGGAGGTGTCCGGCGTTTCCATCAGGAAGCCTACCTGTGAGTAAACCTGTACAGGGTTCCACTACTGTCCTGGTATCAAAGTCGCATTGCCTGTGATGGTGACGACCCGGGACAGACTCTGGTCTGGCTGACCTCGGGACTCCAGTGAAGCACGGTGGCTAAACTAGCAAAACTCCGAAGAAATGGAAATTATGCTAGGGTCCACTCAACCAGTGAAGACGGCCTGCCCAGGTATCCAAGTAAATAAGAAAACATTTTCATTTTCGTTTATATCGTCGAATATTAAACTTGAGAATTGTACATTATTTTTCGGTTTGCATCGTGTGGTCGGATGTGGCGATGACCTTACTTATGATTGGATGGAAGTATTTCAGTGTAAGTTTGTCACTTGTCACACGGGACACATCCTATCTGTTTATTTTCTGCGACCGCGTTTATAAATATTTCGACTTACTATTGCTTTATTCGAGCAGCTTCCCTTGCAGTATGTTGACCTGATTCTTACATGTTCCGTGATTTCGCTGTTGTTTTTTCCTACTCTGGCGGCAGCTGTCGTTGTCCTATCTGTGGTGGCTATTCAGATCCAGAGTGCTATTGACCTTGTAAGTTATCTATGTTATATTCCACATTCTCTTTCTGTCCATCGATGGATTTTCCGCTTTATTCTAGCAAGAGTTGTTCATGGCTACCGAAATTCGTTGTATATGTTAACTTCATCACCCAAGCATGTTTATCCAGGTTGAAAAGTTGAACGTTGTTATGCAGGGGATAAGTTAGGGGTGAATCAAAGCAAAGGATTGCTACAGTCCTGAAATACGCCGTGATCCTTGTGATGATAAATCTTGCGCCAATCTTCTTGAATCAGCCGTTTCCTACTACAGCCCTACATGGCATGGCGTTTTTTGGAACTCAAGCGAAAACGTCTTACTGATGGAACCTGCACAGTTCTTCCCGTAACCCCACCACAAGTAGCCACAAGTATTGAGCGACGAATTATTTGATTGTATTTATTTTTATCACTCTATTGAGGATTACTTCTCTAGAATCGTGGCAAGTTCATATTTCAGGTCAGTTGGGCTAAAGCGACCTTCACGTTGTTTGTTCTGGTGTCACCGTTCGTTGTAATCAAATGCTATAACTTTATCACACACCGTTTCAAGCTTGGTGGTATGTAACGTCTGTAATTTCTTTACTTCTTATAATTTTTTCTGATATAACTTTCACAAATTCTGAAATCTTGCCCATACTTCGTATTTAAAAATAGCAAAACGGTGGTACTATATTTATAGCCTCGCTATCATACAGTGAAAGAAGGAAATGGATTATGTTCTTCATCTACTTTTCTTCTCTGTTGATGGCGATCTCGTTTTTATACGAAGGCCAGATGACATTTGATCCCGCTACAGATGTCACTAATATGACTTGGTGGGTATTTAACTACTGATTTATTGAAGAATTACCCAAGCGTCTGCTTTGTCTTACGGCATCAGAATTTGACGGCCATATATAAGATGAAGCTACGGCACAGTGCTTCTTTCTGAAAACTAAACTTCGTCTACTCATTGTTGCTTTGATGTGTGCTATTGAAAGGGCCGTGCAACTCTTTCTTACTGTCAGTTATCGTCTGTCTTAGGACCCACTACGATCGTTACTGCTCCATGAGTTCATCGAATACTATTGAAAATCAAATCCACTGCAGTCAACTCAAAGGTATGGTTAATCGATTGTGTTCACAAACTGCCCTTGTTCAGCTGACGTTAAATCGGTTTAAATGTTCTTATCGTTATTGCTGTCGAGTTCGCCCTCCTCAGAAAATGGACATATTTTATGTAACAATAACTCCATAATTTCGCGATGAAATCTATAATATTAATGAAGATCCAGGATATAAATAAACGCCAATTTTTCAAAAACTACTCACCGTGCTACAGGATTACTCGTGTCTTGTTCACGAGGGATGATGAGTGAGACCAACTCATGGGGATGCGTATTAAAAAATAATTTTGAGGTAAGCTCCCATATCACGTGCGATAGGCGTTTGTATTTCCCATCCATCTTTAGACCTTTGGGATTTATCCAAATCGTCTCAAAAGTCTTGTGCGTTGATTTTTCATAGCCATTGTGATTCTGTTCCCTATGTGGACACAGAGAATTACTCTGTTCACGATTAAGCTGACGTTTCGGCGGATTTCGCCCTCCTCAGAGCCTGGAAAGGTCAAGCTGATAGCAATCTATTTGGCCAGACGCCTCCATAACCAAACAAAGAAACCCCAAACCAAGATTTCAATCACTTTGAACACAGCTTTGCACGCTCACCGCTTCCTATGAGGTTTCCACTAAGTATGTCACGTAGAAACCAACCGCACAGAAATCACGTAGAAGTATAATGTGCCCCTCACATCAGAAAAGCAGTTCACTCTGGATTAATTCCAGAAATCCGAAAATGAACCGCAGGGAAGAATGCCTCATTATCACGCGTGATATAGGGCAGTATATAAAACTGCTTTTCTGATGTGAGGGGCACATTATACTTCCACGTGTTTTCTGTGCGGTTAGTCTCTACGTGACATACTTAGTGGAAACCTCATAGGAAGCGGTGAGTGTGCAAAGCTGTGTTCAAAGTGATTGAAATCTTGGTTTGGGGTTTCTTTGTTTGGTTATGGAGGCGTCTGGCCAAGTAGATTGCTATCAGCTTGACCTTTCCAGGCTCTGAGGAGGGCGAAATCCGCCGAAACGTCAGCTTAATCGTGAACAAAGAATAATAACACCTCGCGTTTGCTCAACAAAAATACGAAGAAAATTACTCGATCAATGCCGAGGTTAATAGAAAGTCGGTCGTGGCAGTTACAGAGAATTACTTTGTCGAATTCTTGCCTTCCCATCTAGATGTTCTTTTGTGCGGGCGCAAAGTAGTCTACCTGTTTCCTCAATGCATTCCCCACCGCATTCTTTAGATGAGATCAAGTATATTGTGCCTGGACTCATGAAATCTCCGTCTTTTCCGTTAGAACAAATTACACAATTTTCTGAGTTGCACAAACGATCATAGGAACGGTTGCGAATTAACTGACGGTGCAAGGTATTGGGTGTGAGGTCAATGGTTGATAATTTTCAGTTAGTACTGTTCACGTGCTCAACACTACTGCAGACCTTTTTAGAAATTCTTTTAGAACCAATTGAATAACTGAGCCGAGGCTTGTTTTTCAATTATCGATTGCAGGAACATCAATAAACTGGAAAGGAACAGTGCAGTCAGTGCGAGTGGTGAACATAGACAACTCATTCGAAACGTTGCTTGCCTATTTGCCGGAATCTATATCTCAAACCATGAGGTGCTTTTATGACAGCAACCGCACGACTGTCGCCTCGACGGATGGCATGCGGCAAGTTGTTAGAAATCGTCGTCTTTTTATTGTGGATTTATTCCGTTTTCTTAGTAAGTTCAATTTTCAAATGTTATATAGCATACCGTAATAACAATTTATAATGAGCGAGAGTCCTAAAATAAACTAGTGCTGGCTGTTTTCAGTGCAAATGAATGCTCTCTAACAGAGCACAACGTGTACACATTTGAGATAGAGGTTTCGGGTCCATACGGAGAGCGCATTGTGAGTAGTGCTAAAGGACAGCTGGTTCTTAGCGCTAGCCACGTATTTTATGAGATGCTCAGGCTCGTCGACGAAGGTATTTTTGCAGCTATTTGGTAACATGGAAGAGAACTCTACATTTGTTTTCATTTTCTAATCAAACGGGCAGACGGTTTACTTGAAAAGAGTTTCAGGAAAGTGCAGTTCCAAGAAAAATCTTGACAGCAAGTATTGGAGTTTTGTGACAGTAGTAGTACTAGTGTTCCAAATCGTTTTTTCACGCCTCCTACACTTATGCCTTTAAGGCGACGTCATACGCTTTATTGCTTTCTTTGACCAGTATCCGGTATTCCGCTATCCACCACGACTAAAGCTTCTGCAGCTGGAATGCTTGAACTGCAAGCAGGTGTTGTTTTTCATTCTATAAAATCAGATTATTCGGCTAGCCGATTTTCGATGACATCACTCTGAAGTATTTCATAAGAAAATGATCACTGGGCTCTTGTATCCAACTTGTTTTCAGTTTCAAAAGGGATGGAATTCTCATCTACGTGTTACAAATTCGAAGATTAGACGTGCAGGGGTGTGGTACCAAGTATTTAACGCTTTTAAGTTCTGCTTCAACTTCGCATTTGCACCATTGCTAAAGATGTAGTAAAGCAGTACCAGTGGTACATTAGGAAACTATTCAATTCTACCGGTGAGACCGACCCTTTTGTCGAGTGAGCTCAGATTTTGCAGTGCTTTATTATAATACCACTAAAGAGTATGCCAAGCACCAATCATGTAGAGATTTTATTGTTTTGAAAAAAATATAATCTAACTTTATGTAATCTTGTGAAAATTCCGATAAAGGTTATATCGATAGATTTCGAGCAATATTCTTAGGTAGTTCGATTCTCTGTTTCATAATATCGAATTGTAAATTCAAATTTAAAATATTCTTTAGTGATGATAATAGAATTAGAAAATCCCGGTGATAATAGTGGTACATAATAATTACTAATGAATGCATGACATATCCTTCAGTGTTGATCAACGCCGAAAGCTTTATCCATTCTATCCTTTAATGAATAAAATTGATTCGCCAATTTACTTATGTTCCGATGTACTTATATTTGTTTTACAAACGTGTCTAGCCATCTAATGAGCTTAAAATACCAAAGAGATCTTGTCAGTGTTTCCCAGCTTAATCTCGTAGTAAAATTCGGACATAGTTTAGTTTCATAGCTTTTTTATGCTTTAGACATAGTCGTGTTAAGGGCGAGTTCTGTTCCGGTGCGCACCTATAGTGTTGAATAAAAAATTTGCGACGCTGAAATGAATGTACATGCACAAGTGAAATACAAAGACAAAAGTACAGGGAAACATAAAGAAACAACACAGAGTGGGACCAGACTGAGCAATCTAAAGATGTTTATCTTTTTTTTACGGTCTTCTGTGTTCTCGTGGCAGGGTGTTACGTGAACAACAACCATATTGATGCATCAACTGTGATTATAGTTCAGAAATAGAATGGAAAATGCGGGCTTGTGGGAATCTAAACTTTGCTCGACATGGCATTCTGTTGATGGTTTGGTTTTTGTTCTGAAGTACTTATAAAGAAGAAGTCCATGTTTGTTTTTATTCCATTAACAAACTTTGCTCAGTGAAAGAGTGAAAGAGAGCTCAGTATCTTTTATTACCAGTATCGTTGATCATTATTCAACTCAACCAGTTACTTGGAGCCCGTACTTGGCGCAGGTACACAGGGTTGCTTTGTAGCCTTCGCTCGTGTGATCTCCGAGAGGAGTATCACGCTTCTTAGGAAACCATTTTTTCAACTGTTTTTGCTGGGGGCAGGGTGCTAACAAGGGCAGCACGCTGGGCTCTGTGCTTGCTGGCTTTTTTTTTGTCAATAAACGCTAATATTTCTATCACAGAGCACTTAGTGGTGAACAGAGTATTGCTGTAGAAGAAACTCTGATATGTTCCGCCATGGGTATGAATGGTTTTCATGCTATCATTTATTATATATTATATTCCATCGTGCAAGCCTATAGTCAGCATTTAAAAAGGTTTCGAAGTTTGCGTTGGGTCTACTTTGGTTTTTTATACCCGCAGTTTAAATACAATAACCGTGATTCATTGTAGGGATTGTGATTGAAATGGTAGTCAATTGCTAGTCAAATCACCAGTCGACGAACTTGTTCATAAAAGAAAAGTTTGTATATTTCTAAGTGCCGAATACATCTTTTTCGACAGTCGCCCGCCATAACATCTTTGTTGGATTAACTACCAGACGATTACAAAAAGTGGAAACTCTTCACGCCAAAAGAAACCATAAGGAAGAAAATGGCGTCCGTGTGGCTTATATCGACTACTCACGCCGCCACGCATGCGTATTATAGTGTTCATGTCGTTGCGAGTAAGTGTTGATATATGTGTTTAGAAGGTATAAATCGAGCGTGCTAAGGTAGGAAGATAGCCGCGTCCACTGATCACGCCTGCGCCTTAGGTTAAGATATCTAACTGGCTGAGCTCGCTCAGATGGTACAAAGCCATGGAGCAAGGTTTTGTAAGAAAATATGTGTATTGCGCGTACCGGCTGTATTTACATTCACTGGTAAATGACCTTAGTAGGTGGCAGTGAGTCTTCATTCCTTCTTGTCGCATGCGATAGTCCTCCATTGAGTTCGTCTGTAATACACGAGAATTTTTTTTACTGAGTATTTTGGAGTAGTGATTATCTTATTGGTAGTGTTCGTATTGTGGGCTTCACATTCAGTGTCTTCTCATCCGGGACAACGCCACTGGTATTTGACCATTGGTATAGATGCGAACTTTGAATTTTCTCTCTCACTAGCATAATAGGGAATACTAACACTAATGAGCTAGTCCGCTAGCGCTGGTCGCACATTCATCTTTATAAGAAGCGGTGGATTTACCACGACGTGCAAAGAGAAAGAGCATTGAAGTGGAAATGCTGTGTATGATGTCATATTTAATTGACCTTCTTCGCCAGAGCTTCTTTGTCTTTATGAACTTCCCGAGTTATTGATTTCTTCCTAATCAGCTCTAGAGATAAGTCGTGAGTTTTGTTTGATTTCCTAGCTGGTCACATATAGCCAGATCATTTTGAAATGTTTACTCCGTTTAACATGGATGTGGCATCATAAACAACTCCAGCTTTCATTAATACTTACTTGGACACTTGGATAGCCCGCCTTCACTGGTTGTGTGGACCCCAGCATAGTCTCCACTTTTTCGGAGTTTTTCCTGATGTCGACCAGGCCAAAGTCTGACACAAGTCGTCACCACCGTAGGCAATCGCCACTCTTGTAGCTCAGTGGAGATTTCCCACCATGCGACTCGTCTGATATCAAGACGGTGACGAATCCTGGCATTCGTTTGCTTTTCACTGGGATTCCTGATGGATACGCCGGACTCCTCAGCGTGGGAGACCCTGCCAGGGGAATGAATCTTCCCGTTCCATATGGCAGCCAAACATCCAGGAACCCCTCCCAGCTACAATGAGGCGGTAAACCGCTGGGAGGTCATTAATATCATTGCCATAAGATTTAGCCGAATACCAGTCTTTCCACAAGCATTCTACGAGTCCCCGCATTCCACTCTTCACAAGTCAGCTAGTATTCGTTCCGCTGGACTTATGCTTGATGTTTTCAGAGCGACCTCATCAGCAGAACGAAGATGGCTTAGCTGCCGTCCATCGACATTCACTCCCGTGTTATTCTATTCCAGCTTTACCATGACGTTATCGGATAAAAGAGGACGAATAAAGTTTTCGGCGTTGATCACTCTTTGAGGGATGCGTCCGCGTCCTTAGTTATGCAGTAGCTTACGCTGGTCTACGGATGTATCAAGTCAGTGCTGCTGTTCTCCCAGACGAACGGCACCAAGTTGGCAACTCTGGAAGGGTGTATTTGCTGAGCCCTGAGTACGGGGACGAACAAACAACGTGTGTACTGTTAGGCACCTGTAATCACTGCTCTCGAATCAGTGCTACGCACTCGACGCTCTCAGGAGTATATGAAAACAATTTTAGCGGTATAGTATCGTTTAATGGAACGTTTCTCTATATCCATAATAACATCGTTGTAGAACAACAAAATTCTGGGGGCAAAATTGCTACACAGTAAACGAAAATGCTTTTTTCTACTGGGCAATAAGACTTTGGCTTAGTTGAGCGGTTTCATGCAGTCTTCAATGGGTTTCGCCGTCATTTAGATGTGAACCATCGTTCGGAATCCTCAGAGTCCTGATTACTCCTCGAATGGTTCCTTTTCGTGTGTTCTGCTTCTTTTCTTCATAAAGCCTTGAGTAAGGACATGAAGATTACACCTGAGACTGTAAACGAAATGCAACAAAGGGCTAGGATGACAAATACCGATTTCATGAACGTCTGCATTGTTGTGTAACAGTATCTCTTTGCTGGTTTGCCATGGCCTAAACACGTTGCATTCCGAATAGTAGAGTATAAGCATGCGAGTCAATGTGTTAATGAGAAGTGGCGGTAAGTTCGTCATATGTTCGGCTTCCGTCCTTTCGGAACCGGCTGCTGTATGGCTCATCGCAGGCAAGATATATTCAACTGTGGGAGGGAAAACCGTTCGGATTACATATCTATCGTGCCAACAATTATGAACGATTTTTCTTATTGCCTGCTGGGAACGGTGACCATTTCTTCCGTGCACTGGATGGCAATCATCTTGATCTTCTAATCGGGAATGTACAGCGATGTTTGGAATACTTTTCGCCACTTTTCGAGCTTGGAACAGTGCTGTTTACTTCTCGTACTTGTGATGACTTGTCGCTTTTTTGTAGATACTTAAAAATTCGGAAGTAGTTGATAGTTCCCTGGATCGACTTTCTCTTAACCTCGGCATTGGAATATGAATGTGTCGTTTTCTTGTTCAGCAATCGCCAGGTTTTTAAACAGCATACATTTACTTCCATAGAAAAACACAATACAATACAACGCTAGCTGACGTTTCGGCAGTGTCGCCTTCTTCAGAGCCGCTTTTTCGTGACTTCCAATGAGGAACTTTAGAACAGCTGAAATACTGACAATATACGACTGCACCATCCCATATCAAAAATCGATGCGAACGTACGGGATCAGGTCGCGTATGACCCCCGGGCATTCATCCCTGCTATTCATTGTAGGGTTTTTGGCATTGGTCCAAAAAGCCTCAAGGAGTTTTCGCGCTGTTGTTTTGGACTCCTGTGCAAGGATATTGACTTTTACTTCAAAATCGTCTCCGCTATGCTTTTGTATCCTATGCGTGCCTAGTGGGGTGCTTCGTCTTAGTTTTCGTTTGCCATCTAGGTGTTCTTTTATACGGGTACACAAAGGTCTGCCCGTTTCGCCAATATATTCATCTCCGCAATTATTACAAGAGATCAGGTATATCGTACCTGAACTCA